GCTTTTTCAAGCTATTTGAAAGCCAAGAAAAGAGGGAAACTCAAACGAACTAACCCCCCACCCCAACGGTGAGACCGGTATTACCGGTGTTGTCACTCGTCTATTAACCGGTGGGAAAATTTCCTCACCGTTACAACCCTATTTCCATGTCAATTTTTATTTATTTATTTAAATTTATTTCATTTATTTTCAATCATTTATTTTGCTATGGTTAAACGGATAACTTTCTCAATTCCAAGAAAAAAAAAGAAATTAATTTAGGCTTTCATTTTTATTTTTTGAATGACTAATTATGTCATAGAAATGCTTTCCATGTCAATTATTATTTATCTATTTATAAAAAAAAAAGTCTTAAATGACATTTACATTTTATCATTGCGTGTACATGAGGGGAAATTTGGATGGAACATTTAATCAATACATTTTATTAGGTGTCTTTTTGTATACTGATTAGCATACAGGTAATAAAGGATTTTGGATGCACAGGTACCACAAGTTGGGCACCGCATTTAATCCCAACACTTTGGATAAGCAGAAGGAGAGGCAAAGAGGTTTACCCAAGCAAGTTTTTGAGTCTGATGAGTTGCCAGATCACAGCAGCTATCAAGATGATCAGGTAAACCTGTCTTTGCTACTGTTGCGTGTTATGTAAAGTTTTTTTTTTTCTTTCTTAAGCCCAGAAGAATAATTGCACAATATCCCTGTGAGTTTCTTTTTGAATTCACTGAATATAAACACTTACTTTTGCTTGTCACAGGATGATCTGAAGCGAAGGTCCATGTCAATTGATGACACTCCACGTGGCAGCTGGGCTTGCAGTATATTTGACCTGAAGAACTCTCAGCCTGATGCTCTGCTGCCTCACCTTCTGGATCGAGTACCCAACGAAGAAATCGACCGCCACAATGAGGACCAGCGCAAGTCAAACCGCCATAGAGAGCTCTTCGCACTTCATCCTGCTTTGGATGAGGTAGAGCATGATATTTTGTTTCAATATTTCCAATATTGTGTCTAGAGATACGGATTACCAAAACACTTCAATTAATCTTTTTTTTTTCTCCTGTAGGATGAACCCATTGAGCGCCACTGTGTGCCTGATGTTCCAAAAGAACATTTTGGTCAAAGGCTTCTTGTCAAGTGCTTGTCCTTGAAGTAAGTGGGGAACAGCTTTTGTGGACTGAAATGTAACACTAATGGTTACAACGTTGCTGATATGATTCTCTTCTTCCTTTTAAGGTTTGAGATAGAAATTGAGCCAATATTTGCAAGTTTGGCCTTATATGATATCAAAGAAAAGAAAAGGGTAAGCTGTTATAATTCCCTGTGTGATGTATAAGTTAAAAGTTGTGTAAGCATATAAAATAATGAATATTAATTAATTCACTGTTAAAGTGAATTATGGTGCCATAAAAATATACACAATGGATTACATCAAACTTGCAAATCTGAAGATTATTTTCTTTTTTTTTTAAATTGCATTTGTAAAAACAATTTTGATGGGATTAAATTTAGATTTTTTTAACCCAATGGATTTCCAAAAGATACATTCAAATACAAGTTACATTTATGTGTGAAGGAAATGTCACTTGATGTTGCTAACTGATTTCAACACTAGAGGGTAGTAGTCACCTGTTCAAAGATTTTATTAGTTCCTTAGCACTCCCTCTGACATCCTAACATTCTCCTGTCTTCATCCTCAGATATCAGAGAACTTTTACTTCGATTTGAACTCTGAGCAAACGAAGGCCATGCTGCGACCGCACATCCCATCTGCTGCTATCTCCACCCTGGCCCGCTCTGCTGTCTTTTCAATCACCTACCCTTCTCAAGACGTCTTCCTTGTTATCAAGGTTGGTTACATCATTCAGCATCATTCTTAACATTCAGATCCCTGTTCATGAGCAGAATATATATTTTGTTCTTTTGAACTTTGTTTATCAATGAATCCTGGAAAAAATGTATCATGGTTTCCACAAAAAAAAAAAATATATATATATATATATAAAAAAAGTTTTTAAGATCAACAATAAGAAATATTTCTTGAGCATCAAATCAACATATTAGAATGAATTCTGAAGGATCATGTCACTCTGAAGACTGGATAATATAACCTATATATAATATATTTTATAATTATGTATTTATTTTTTAAACATTATTGCATGCATTGATGTTTTCAAGACAATATGGCATTAATGGATTTATGAAATGTACAGTTTTTTGTAGTTGCATGTTTGATGATCATTGCATTGATTTTATGTTTGCATTGATGTTCGTTTATTGCTTAATTTGAGTGTTTTGAGTAGTGTTGTCTAATGCAGTGCATTGTTGCACTGTGTTTGCTTTCAGCTTGAGAAGGTGCTTCAGCAGGGAGACATTGGAGAGTGTGCAGAGCCTTACATGGTCTTTAAAGAGTCCGATGCTGCCAAAGTAAGCCATTCATAACAGTTTATACATTGTGCACCAGCTCCTAGTGGAATTCAGCCCAGCATGGTTACTGTTTTTATATTCTCTTCTCTGGTACTACAGAATAAGGAAAAGCTTGAGAAGCTACGCAGTCAGTCCGAACAGTTCTGTCAGCGACTAGGGCGTTATCGGATGCCCTTTGCCTGGACAGCCATACACCTCATGAATATAGTGAACAGTGCCGGCAGCCTAGAGAGAGACACAGAGCTGGACATGGGGCTGTCAGGTGAGTCTTTAAATGACACAGATGCTTGTGCATGTTTATCCTGTACTTGTACTTAGTTTGAAATAATTTTTCCGAACAACATTTGAATGAGTGATGAAGTGAGACTAGTCCCATATTTCATGTTGGCTCTTAATGCCATACCACAGCATTTGATCTGATCTCATAGTACTGAAGTTTTAACTACTTGATTTTGCTCTATTGCACAGAACGGAAAGGCTCTTGGTCTGAACGGAGGAACTCTAGTATTGTGGGACGTCGTTCGCTGGAGAGAACCACCAGCGGAGATGAATCATGCAGTCTGACCAGCTTCAGACCAGCTACCCTGACAGTCACCAACTTCTTCAAACAGGTCACGCTGTTATTAAAATAACCAAACATCCCAGTATTGATCTCGTTCATTGAAAATTGACTGTCCTTCAGTTATCGGTCGTTGCATAGGTCAGACCGCTAAAGCTAATAAATACTCCTGCTTTTGACATTTGAATATGTTTTTTATGTTTTATTAATATGTCATATTAGGAAGGAGATCGACTAAGTGATGAAGATCTCTACAAGTTCCTAGCTGACATGAGGCGCCCATCCTCTGTGCTGCGTAGACTGAGGCCCATTACAGGTAGAGCTCTTTTGGCATGTTTATTTTGGCCATATTAACATTTATGTAGTGAGTTATGTAACTGATTTACTAAATACCCTCAGCCCAGCTGAAGATTGACATCTCACCAGCCCCCGAGAACCCTCACTATTGCCTGACACCTGATCTGCTCCAAGTGATGCCTTACCCAGATAGTCGAGTGCGGCCAACAAAAGAGATCCTGGAGTTCCCTGCCAGGGACATTTATGTGCCCAACACCACTTACAGGTATAAATGTTAAGATCAGTAATTTTCAAACTTTTTGACTCCCAGCACCCACCCATTGTCCACAATAATATTCAATAAGTTACCCTATTCGCTAATATTACCCTATTCAAGTGAGACTTGAAATGTAGATGTTTGATGTGTAGCACTTTTTATTTATAGCACACATTTAAAGGGGTCATATGATGCGATTTTAATTTTTCCTTTCTCTTTGGAGTGTTACAAGCTCTTGGTGCATAAAGAAGATTTGTAAAGTTGCAAAGACTAAAGTCTAAAATCCAAAGAGATATTCTTTATAAAAGTTAAGAGTCAACCACGCCTACCTAAAACGGCTCGTCCTAACACGCCCCCACATACCTACGTCACGATGTGGGAAGATTTGCATAACGCCGCCCAAATGTTCACGCAAACACAGAAGGCGTAACTTTTATTCTCGCTGTAGTATGGTTGCCGCCACCTCCATGTCGTGAAGACGCTGTTTGTTTTGTTGTGAAAGCGAAACCACTTTGGCCTTCCAAAAGAGGATGATATCCGCTTCGTCATGCCTGGAGCTGATCCGTGCTGGTCACTGAGGAAATACATCAACTTCGCGCTGTCGATCGCCGGATCGGCTTTCACCGTGGACGAAGCGGAGTCCAGCCCGGGGTCGTCACATGTGGTTGCCGCATGCCTGCCGGCCACTCCTTCGTCAAATCCGCCGGCCGCGCCATTCACTAGCCCGCTGGCCGTTTCTCACTCTAGCCCGCCGTGTGTTTCGTTGTGAAAGCGAAACTACTTTGTTTGGTCTTCCAAAAGAGGACACGACTAGAAATCAGAGGTTAAGTTGTATTTACAACACTGTTCCAAAACAGTTCAACCCAAATATTCAGATGTGTGCAGTACATTTTATGGAGGACTGTTTCCTGATCCTGGCAAAGTAGACTACAATGGCGGCTGTTCTGACTCACAGACTGTAAGTATGTTTTCATATTTAAAGGATTTGCCACTGATGATTCAAACGTAAGTTTTGAGCAGTGTAGAGTAGTGCTTGTTTGTCGTTTCTCCGATCACAAATGCAGACATGGTTTTATGTTTACGCGGCGCGATGCAACACAATGCGTAAAAAGACAGTATAAGTCATTATAATCCGTAATTATGTCCCCACTGGATGCAACAAATGCCTCGTTTATAATGGGTTTTAATGTTTTTGTCTCGTCGCTCCGGCCAGACAGGGCATCACAGTATGGTAAGGGGTGTAACATTTCCGTCACACACTTGAGGTATTCGGCCAATCACAACGCACTGGATAGCTGGCCCATCACAGCACACCTCGCTTTTCAGACCGATGAGCTTTGTAAAAATCGATGCGTTTCAGAAAGGGCGGGGCATAGAGGAGAAACTATAATGTACAGTATGTGGAAAATAATGTTTTTTTTTAAACCTTTTTTACACATAAACATATTTCAATACACCAAATACACAAAATAATGTTCTTTTTAGCAACAACATATGACCCCTTTAAGCTAAACTTTTAAAGACTCATGATGTACACTACAGTTCCTGGACTCACAGTGTCCTAGAAACCAATGTTTTAGAGATTCAGAAAAGAAGAAAATTTTGATAAGGAGAATAAAGGTAAGGAGCATGGTATTTCAGTAGTAGTACAGCACATCTCTAATGTATATTAGCACCATATGTTGTTGCTTTTGGGATTTGATAAAGAGCTGGGACCTGGTAACTGTGATGTGTGACGTCAGACCTTACAAGCAGATAGCCCTAGTTTTCTTTTCAAAGCTTAATCTATGTGCACTCCTAGTTTTGTAACTTCAAGTAACTAAAATATTTCAATCTGAAATAATTACATTTCAGGATTTCAGACATTTTAGGAGCTGAATGTTCTTCAGTGTTTCTACACTTTTTAACCAATTACTTTTTTTATGTGAATTTTATGCTTAATTACAAGTTCATAATTTTATTTTTAGGGGTCTACTAGAATGCTTTCACAGGATTTAAAGTTCAAAAAGCACATTATTTTTGACAGACTGTATATTGCTGCAGCACGTCTTTTCACTCTCTGCCTGAAACACTCTGTTTTAGTAAAGCTTGCCTTTCTGAAGAGTCCAGTCAGCCCTAATTGGTCATCTGGTACAATCTGTTGTGGTTGTTAAACCGTTTGCAGCATGTGTCTCAAATATTACTCCCCTTACCATAATTGGGTTTCAACTCCCAAAGTTTTGTGAGCAACTGTAAACAGTATTATATATCTATGTAACTATGGTGTAATTATTGGAAGTCCATATAATGTTTTTTGCCCTTGAAGTGAAAAAATAGCATCTCCTTGACATAGCGAAGCGTCAAAGCGTTTGAGGGCAGACCAAAGCAGCCACTAGCCAGGCATTATGAAAATGTGTATCATGGTGACATTGCTAAGTCACTAAAATAATGGCAGGACTACAAACGAGGTGTTTCAGGCAAGTGTTTTCTCAGAACCCCTGGTCTAGATCATATAAATTGGCCTCACACGCCAACACAAACAAGTATATATTTTTTTTTAAGAAATGCCTTGTCTCACTTTTTCTTATTGCTAAGTAACCAGAGTACTCTCTGTGTGACGGACAGCCTCACCGCTATTTAAGCTTACTAATTTAGTCAAGGTTGACCAGACAAAGATGCCTATCCTCTGCAAGTTGACATAACCTGTCATTCAGAGGGCATGTTTGTCCGCTCTCAGCCTGTGCCAACTTTGTTATCTTCCTCCGCACATGCCGCATAGTCAGCCTTGATTTAGATTGTGCTGACTGGGCAGATTGGGACATGATTTACTGCAGACAACATGCATGTTCTAGATTTATCACACTTGTCATGTCTGTTGTATATTCAGGTCATATTATTGTTAATTATGAAGGGTTGATTTCCCACACAGGTTAAGCTCGACCCTCCTGCTGAATTATTTATTTATTATCGGTTAAATTCCTAATATTATCCCCCATGAACTAACAGTAGTCTAAATTCTTTGGAAACTGGTTTATTTCAGTTATATGAGCCTGCAGTGAAGTTGGTCACATACTGTTTTCTTGAGAAGATATTGCTCAAATTTGTTTTAATTATTACGTAGTGAAATTTACAATATTGCCACTTTAAAAAAAGAAAAAGATTTGCCATGTTAGTCCAAGTATAGTTTAAGTTGCCTTATTGTCTAAATGTGTTGCTATAAATATGATGCACCTGACTACCAATGAGAAACATTTTGTAAACGAAATGTATACAGTACAGCTGAGTATGTACAAAGCATAACCAGGAGTCAATATGACTCAGTAACAGAAAGAGACGAGCAAAAGATCCAACTTCAACCATAACAACACATTTCTTGGTAACACTTTGTAATAATTTTCAATATCAAAATTACAAATATGAATATATAATTTAATATATTATAGTCGTGTGTTCATAAGCATTGCAGTCATGATTTAATGAATGTTATTACAAAGTGTTACCCGCTGCTTTTTTACTGTTGCACATTTGTGTAAATTGCTTAAATACTAAACTTCAAGTTAACATACTGTATGTGAAATGACATTGAGAAGCTCTATAGTTGAGAGCAATGTAGTTCTATAATATTATCCATATTGTCTACAAACTTATTGTTGATTCTTGTAGACTCTTGATAATAACATGCATCAAATCCTGTTCCAGAGGTGTGATTATGCCATTTTAACCTGTTCAATATTAGTTTTTTTAACTAACACATGCATGTTGCAATACACCTTTGACTTGTTTTTTACCCTCTACCAGAGTCAATGACCTGTTGCAGTTGCATCATTCAGTTTCTGCTGTCTGTAGAGAAAGGGAAAAGCTTTGTTGGCCAGTGTCTGCTGCCAGTGTGACCCCTCTGATTGATTCTGCATTACCCAATGGAGAGTATAGGGTCAGGGATTATTGAAACTTGGTTGATGGTCTGATGGTGATCTTTGTGGATTTGAGGGTATAGGAGCTTCCTTTGGCTGGCTTCCAGTAGATTCCTTTCCTGCGCTGGTGCCGAGTCCTCGACCTCATCCAGGCGTATCTCCCGTTTAAGTTGGTGTCCCCACATGCATCAAACCACCAACCTCCTGAAACCAGCAAACAGTTAATATTCAAGGGATGTTCAGTTGTATATTGAGGGATATTAAATATTCATTTTGACCATGTGATACCTGTGTAGTTGCGGGCGCAGTTTGACTCATCATGATTATCGTTGTCTCTGTCCTTGGTTGAGAACTTCATGCCCGTGTGGTTGCTCATGGCATCAGGCAGATCTCCAGAAAGAGGTGCCACGTGAAGAGCGTAATCAGATGCAGGACCTTCCAGGGTGAATGTGTACTCGATGAATCTCTTTTCCTCCTTCCAGTCTTCCAGTTCAATGTGTAAAATGTATTGTCCTTGTTGAGCAATGGAATAAATCTTCGCCAAGCCAAGCCAGAACTCTTCTGTAACACAAAGATATTTCCGCTTAGCTCTTGTCAACAGCTGAAGATGCATTGTTATACAAAAGCATAAGCTGTTCATTGATAATCAAAGCGGTTTCTTTTTGAAAGTCTGTGTGAACTGAGAAAAGCACAGTTGCTGTGATAGAGAAGGAAACATCTGACATGACACAAAAGCGCATACTTACTTTCCAGTTTGCCAAATCCATACTCGTATTTTTCCCATGACTGGTCAAAATCAACAGAACCATCCTCCCTCCTCTGAATGACTGTGGCTGCACCATCTAATAATTAAGAGTAAATGTAAACTGGAAAAAGAGAATCTTGTATTGAGTTGGATAAGAATAGTGATAACGGCACATCCATCTTAGTTAAGAAAGTAATTTTCTTGTGCCCTTTGTGTGTACTTGTTGCAGTTTTTGTAAGTGATATCAGTAGGAAATCTGATGATTAGATGTACATTATCGGTCTCTTACCAGCCCTTATCTCACAGTAAACATAGAATGGCTCAGATTGATTGGGTTTGATTGGGTAAATTCCACTGGTCCTTTGGCCTCTTTTGAACACATCACTGCAGTCCATTGGAAAGTCTATGCAGCAGAACACACAGTTGATGATTTTGGATTTATTAAAGCAGCAGTTTAAATTGCTTATTGATTTTGTGCTGTTCTTACCATTTATTTCTGCAGTTCCATTGGTGGAGTTCATTGTTAAGTAACAAAAAGGGTCAAGTGTTTCTGGATTTAAATCCAAAGGTTTTTCAACTGTGTCTTGAAAAGAGTCATAGTTCATCTGAAATAAGAGAATATTTATTCTCAGTAAATGCAAATAAAGCCATTAGAGTTACACTGAGAATTCAATCAATATTCTTTATTTTATATTCAGTAGAATTTATTATTACTTGACATTGACATTATTAAAATCTAATTTATTAAAAACACCATTTAAATCTCTTTATTTTACAGTATAATCAAATTCTTAAGTAAAATACATTTTATAATGTATTAAATATACAAAATATTTTGTTAGCTAGAACATTTTCTTATTGCAATCTCTATTAGATGTGTACTGTAAATGTAAATTCATTTGTCAAAGATGTGGGGAACCTTTTAAATAAAAATGCTTTGAATGATAAATTCAGAATACATAATCCTTAATTTATAATGAAAATAACATTAATATTATAGAAACAATAATGGATACCTTATCCTCAAGACTCTTAATTTTGGTCTTCTGGTAATTGAGCTGTTCGTGTTGCTCTTTAACAGATTTAAGCAGATCTGTAATGGTCCTTTCTTGTGTTTCAATCACATCCTGCAATAGACAAGTTGTTAATGCAGCAAATGAACAGATGCCTGTACAGATATATAATCAGTTTTATTGATAAGCATTGATTTTTGCTCTTGCCATCAAATGTGATTTACATGCTGTTTTAGACATTCATTTTAAAATCGGTATTGTGAAGCCCTGTAGTTATAATGTGAGATTGAATGGTTTCCATTTACAATAAAAGTTCAGAATTGACCATACTGGACTCACCTTCAAAGCAGCGATCTCTTGAAGTTGCTCCAGAGGCATCATGCTCTGAGACAAGCCCTTCAGCTTCTCCTCCAGCCCACCAACCTTGCTGTGCAACTGGCTTCGCTCTTGGAGGATGTTGTTGATTTTGGAGTTGATCTCCAGTGACAAGTTTCTGATCTCCTCATTATTGGCCTTCAAAAATATGGTCGTCTCTTTCAACTTCTCCTCTTCCTCTTTGATTTCACTGGTGACCACCGAGAGCTGGTAGAAGGAGCGATCAAAGATGTTGAGCTTCTGGAAGATGTCGTTGATCTGAGACTTGGTCTTGTGCACAAACTCTCGGAGGCTCTGGCCGAGCTGGAGAAGACCGTTAGCAAGGAGTCGTACGTCATCTAACATGGCAAAGTGGGATCTAGCCTCAGTTGGCGGTGCGGTGACAAGAAGAGGTGCCTCTGTGGGTGCTTTCTTTAGATTGGGAGCTGCGCTTGTTGTTGACAAGCTTAGCCAAAAAAGCAGGAAAATCAACATCATGTCAGGTGGTTTGAAGGCAGATTTGTTCACGGTGTCAGTCTGTTCCCAATGTCCCAAAGTCTTTGTACTCGTCCCTTTTAGCCTCCGTTTCTCGCTACTCTTCTCATCTCCTACTCTGAGAACAAGACCAAAAACAGAAGAGATTCCTCAAAATATATACAGCTACACTGAGAGGGGGAGGGACCATTTGGTAATTATTAAGCAGGCTGAGCTTGAGCGTCCTCCTCCCAATCTGGAATGTTTTCTTGGTGCAGACAATTTACAGTTACACACACACACACATCCATAACCTGGCCCCTGGTTGCCTCTGATAAGCAAAGATGAACAATGCTGATGAATCATCCTGCAGATCGATCAAATCATCACCACGGCCACTTTGCATGCACTGTGCATGTACCACTGGATGGGAATTAATAATAAAAGTATGCAATTTATGGTTCTGGCTTTGATTTAATGGTCTCCTGAATCAGCGAAGCATCACTCTCAGGTGCCACTGAGAGGGTCTGCATGTACAAGCAAAATCCTCTCTGAATCTCAGGACGGTTCGGCTTAGGCGGTAATAGAAATGAGTGATGACTGAAGTTGGGGGAGTTTGTGCCATTTGCACTGATATGTACAGGCTTTTTATTTACTGCTGCTTCATATTAATCTTCCTTCAGGCTTTAGCAGGAGATTTGTATTTATTACATTTTTTTTATTAAATATTTTCCCTTTCTGTTGGCCTGGTCAGGCCAGTAGTTTAGGAAGAATTTAACTTGCCAAGTATTTATGCTTTCTTACATACTAGATTTTTTTCTTCATTTAAATTCTCATTTTTACAAAAAATGACTAGGCTTTCAGTTTTCAATAAACGATACAGGTATAATGCAACTTCATGACAGCTGTATTCATAGACCTATATATTTCAGCAAAATCTCATCTATGTCAGACATTTAGGTAATGTTACATTGGTATAGAGTTTTAATTGTAAGAAGTTGCAACAACAATGTTCAGTAAATGTTTTAGCCTTAGTTGTCTTTGTTCACATGTGCTGTGATTTAAATGTTTAAACTCAGCAGCTTGTAATGGGGATGAGTCATGGCCAAATGTTTCCAAACCCATTTAATATGGAACTTACTGATAAACTATTGAACCTGTTACTTTTGAACTATTGAATTGTTTAATCTTTTAATTGTGGAACATTGTCCACTCTTTAACACACTTGCAGACAGATTTTGTTTTGTATGTGAGATAAAAATACATTTAACATTGTGACATTCAGCTAATATGAAGTATTTAGCACATTGTTTTCTGTTAGTACATTTCTGAATACATAATGCATTTTGAAAGGTTGACCATATTTACATGCTCATTATCTGATTAAAGTCCATACTGTGGTTAAATACGTATAATATAATGTGTGTCTGTTTGAAACTATCTTGGAGCTGTTCAGCTGGTCAGTAAAAGTTGAAGTTTTTTTTTTGCCTGCTAGCTAACTTGTTTTATGTCTGCTGTGCTGCTGTAGTGATGTATTATCATTGCCCTGCTGCACACTCAGATTAACTGCTCCTGTTCAGACAGGTGCGGACAGTTTGGCCTCAATCCATATTTGTGGACACGGCAAACCCAACCAGACTCCCATTGTGTACCCAGGGGCCATTCAGGGTGTAGAAGCTTGTGTGTCAGTGGTATGGGAGGTCTGCAATGTCCCTTCTTACACCCTGCACCAAATAGAAAATGATTAACCCGTTATTATTTGATGGGTTTCCTGAACTTAATAGAACTGACTGGAATCGCTCCACATTTTTAATTTATTGCATCTTTCTTTTTTTGTGTGTGTGTGTGTGTTCAAATGCAACTAATATTGAAACATTTTAAATATTTTCATGGAATAACAAACTGCTGATGATTGAGTGTACAATGTAAAAGTCTCCCTTACTCATTTTTTCCCTTTTCAACTCGAACAAAATATCATAGTATGAAATAAAAGTAACTTTTGCACCACATTAGAGAGGAGGTAATATTGAGAGCGCATGAGAGATCTGTGCTCCTTGGAAAGTCTGTGACCTTTGCAGCCTGTGTGGTCTCCCAGGAGAGTACGTTCCACGTCACTGCAGTATTTCTGTCCGTTCCTGCAGCTACTGTAACGGAAACAGCTGTGCAACAAAAATCTATGCAATGAAAAGATCAATGGGGATTCATGTTGAAAAAAAATTTTCACATGTGACCAGAAATTGTTTTTGAAGCGTAAAATTTGGTGTAAATTACAAGTTTTTTTATTTATTTAAATTTTTTAATGCTATTTTTAAATTGATTAGTTGTATTATGTAAATTTTAAGAAGGGACTGTTGATTTCATTTGAGTTTTTATTTCATGGACACATTTCTATTTCATTTTTAAATATTTTAATTTCAAATTAAAGGGATAAATAATTTCAGTTAAAGGGATAGTTCACCAAAAATGAAAATTCTGTCATTAACTACCCTCATGTCGTTCCAAACCTGTAAGACCTTCGTTCATATGAGTAATTAATGACAGAATTATCAGTTTTTGGTGAACTATCCCTTTAAGGAATTGTCTGTGACAACAGAAAAACATTTCTAAAGTTAATTACACATAAAATTATCAAATCTTTGAATTTAAGATTTAGAAACCTTACTGGAACTTCTAAATATATTAAAAAAATGAAATTAGATTCCAACGTTGTTTTATTGAATTAGAGCATCAAACCTTTGATGTTTAAATAATGTATCTTTCTCTGTCTACCTGTGTGTGTAGGAACCTGCTGTATGTGAACCCACAGAGCCTGAACTTTGCTAACCGTCAAGGCTCAGCCCGTAACATTACAGTGAAAGTACAGTTCATGAATGGGGAAGATCCTAGCAATGCTATGCCTGTAAGTTTTGACAGAATGCATATCAATTTAGTTTTCATGTGACCAAACATGTCATAGAGAAGCACTCTCTTGACTTTGGGAAATGGCAGAATATGCTTACAGTTATTCACTCCTTGGTCTCTTAGGTAATCTTTGGGAAATCCAGTTGTGCGGAGTATTCAAAGGAGGCGTACACTGCTGTAGTCTATCATAATCGGTGAGTTTGTTTGTATTCTTTTTAAATCTCAGTTATATGACTTCACCCAGAAGTCTTTAACATGAGATCAAACATCAGTAGATGGAGCGGCAGGGTCAGTTCTATGTGAATTTGAAACAACTGTTGCTCAAGTTTTTGTTTGCTTTTGTATAAGAGATGGATTATAGACAATTTCTGTATATCAAATGTTGTTTCCTCAGATCGCCAGATTTCCATGATGAAGTTAAAATCAAGCTACCAGCTAGGTAATCTTTGGGAAATCCAGTTGTGCAGAGTATTCAAAGGAGGCGTACACTGCTGTAGTCTATCATAATCGGTGAGTTTGTTTGTATTTTTTTTTAATCTCAGTTATATGACTTCACCCAGAAGTCTTTAACATGAGATCAAACATCAGTAGATGGAGCGGCAGGGTCAGTTCTATGTGAATTTGAAACAACTGTTGCTCAAGTTTTGTTTGCTTTTGTATAAGAGATGGATTATAGACAATTTCTGTATATCAAATGTTGTTTCCTCAGATCGCCAGATTTCCATGATGAAGTTAAAATCAAGCTACCAGCCTCGCTGACCGACCATCATCACATCCTTTTTACTTTCTATCATGTCAGCTGTCAACAGAAACAGAACACCCCACTGGAGACGCCTGTTGGATACACGGTACATCGTTTTCCACACGCACACAATTAAAAAAAACTTTCACTCAGCAAGGAAGCATTAATTTATATTTTAAATAAATGCTTTTATTTTGAACTTTGTATTCATTAAAGAAATCACAAAAATATTAACCAGCACAACCACAAGTGTTTTTTGAGTACTAATTCAGCATATTCATTAATTTCTGAAGGATCACGTGTTCAGCAGTAATGGTTGCTGAAAATTCAGCGTTGCCATCACAAGAATAAATTACATTTTAAAACGTATTAAAATAGAATTAAGAAATAAAAATGTTGATTTTCACAATATTACAGTTTTTACCGTATTTTTTTAATTAAATATTTGCAGCCTTAGTAAGCATAAACTTTTGAATGGTACATGAACACAACGATTTAATTTTCATTTTTGGCACTCACACCATGCTAATAGAGAACACTTCTATAAATCTGTACACATATTTTGGCAACAAGTCGCCTTTCAATAACAAAGATGGAAATTAAGATAAATCGAGAATAGTTTTGATACTGTGGCTGGTTGCTTAGACTGGGTAAACTGTTAGATTAATTCATCATTTTAAAATCAGTTACATAAAAATGTAGATTGGTCTAATTTGAATCTGAAAAGTAAGTTATTACCACTTTGTTAACTGCTTGCTAGTCAAACTTAAGAGTCTTAACATAGTGACGTTTAACGCTAACATAGTGGCGTGGTGTTTATGTGACTGGCCCCTGAATCATGGCTCTCTGAATAAAAATCTAATCTAATCATGATGTGCCTGAAGGGTCACACCTATAGTAAATGTTATCTCTCTTATTTTTCCTCAGTGGATTCCCATGCTGCAAAATGGACGCTTGAGAACAGGTCACTTCTGCCTTCCAGTATCTCTGGAGAAACCGCCTCAGTCTTACTCTGTTCTCTCTCCTGATGTAAGTCAATTTCTGGCACACAACGCACTTAAATAAAGTTAAATATGATTAGTTTCTTTGAATGGCCTTGTTTAGTATCTAGTATAATGTATCCCTCATTTATATGAATTAATTGTTAAAAGACTTTCCTCATTGGTCATTGATGTTGTCAGAAAAATAACTTTTTGAACCTTGAATTTTTTTTTCTTATCATTACCCTTTTTTTACAGACCAAGTTCTAATATTTTTAAATGTTTTTGATTTACGATACTTGCATTGTTAGTAATGCTGTAACACTACAGTGGGACTTATGATTTGAAGGAAGTGTGTTTGAGAGTATTTTAGTGTAACAGTGTGTAATAATATAAAGAAATTATACTGCAAGTTCATTCATGCATTTGTGTGTAGGTTCCCCTTCCTGGAATGAAATGGGTGGATAACCACAGAGGGGTGTTTAATGTAGAGGTTGTGGCTGCATCCACCATCCACACACAGGTAATTAGTAGTTAAATTGTCAAAGTACTGATTAATAGCCCACTTCTCCATTCTCTGATGCGTTTCTTTCCTCTGCACAGGATCAGTTTTTAGATAAGTTCTTTGCACTCGTGCATGCGCTGGATGAGCATATGTTCCCTGTGAGGATAGGAGACATGCGCATTATGGAGAATAATCTGGAGGCTGAGCTGAAGTCTAGTATAGCAGCTCTAAATTCCTCTCAGCTGGAGCCTGTGGTGCGCTTCCTCCACCTACTGCTGGACAAACTGGTGTTGCTGATGGTGCGGCCACCTGTCATAGCCGGCCAGATAGGTACCCTCTGTCCTCCAACCTACATAATCACAGAAAAGTTTTACTTTAAAGAGACAGTTCAACCAGAAATGAAAAATCTGTCATCATTTACTCACCCTCATGTTTGTCCAGAACTGTATGACTGAATGACGTTCTTCTGTGGAACAAAAAAAAATTGTTTGAGAAATGCAGTTTTTTTGTTTCCTTCTCTCTCATGGGCTCTGATGTTTGGTTCCCAACTGTCTTTAAAATTTGTTTTGCAATTCACAGAAGAAAGAAATGCATACAGTTTTGGAACAATATGGGGGTGAATAAATGATGACAGAATTTTCATTTTTGCATGGATTCAGTTTAACTTATCTAATATTAAATTGGTAGTTCGATGACAAGTCAAAATTGTTAACATTTACTCCAAACCACAGATTCACAAACAAATCAGTCTTTAAATCAGTTGTTTTCAACCAGTTTAACCAGCTCACATATCAGACTGAAAGATTTGTTTAGGAGTCGAATCAGAAGTTGGTTGTATAACTTTCTAAATTGGTCATTTGAATGGTCAAAAGTTAAACTATGACTGTTGTTGAATGTTGTATTTGTAATTTTTACCTCTTTTCAGTCATTTCTCTTCCATATTTAAGTGCAACTTTCTATTAAAAAAATTGTGTATAGCTTGATTGTGAGAACTGCATAAAATAGTTGTTAAGTCTCCTGACTTTGGCTGTTGTTTCTTAAAGATCTTGTGTTTTATTTTCTGTTTACTGTAGTGAATCTTGGTCAGGCTTCTTTTGAAGTGATGGCATCCATAGTGAACCGTCTACATAAGTACTTGGACACTAGTCAAGATATGCATGGGCGAAACAGCCTTCTCTCATCATATATACACTATGTCTTCCGCCTGCCCAACATGGACCCCAACTCCCCCTCTCCAGGTCAGGTTTCAGCTTGATCCTTTGATTTATGTGTCTCAATCTGTGGCTTTTGGAGAGTTGATGATTGGTTAAATTAGTGTTTCAGTTTTGATTTATTCTGCTCTGCGTAATAGGCCCAGGAGGATTGGGCGGTTCAGTGCATTATGCCACCATGGCCCGTTCTTCTGTTAGACCTTCAAGCCTCAACCTCAACCGCTCTCGTAGCCTTAGCAACAGCAACCCAGACATCTCTGGCACTCCAACTTCCCCAGATGATGAAGTACGGTCCATCATTGGCAGCAAGGTAGGTAGACACATTTCAGCAGCTCTGTTGGTTATAATTTATTTCTAATAATATTATAGATGCATCGTCGTTTATATACACATCGAAATTTATTTTATTAGTGCTGTTAAGACATGCTTTGATTGCTCCAGCTGGATGTGACTAATTGTATTCATTATTATGAGTGCATTTATAGGTCATTGACTTTCTGCTCTAGATTGCTGATTTCACTGATCATCGGCAACTCTCAATGTTACAGATCAATCTATAGCTCACCAGCAAGACGAACTTTAGCAGGAACATTTTATGTACTTAACCCATGTTACGCAATCTTGCAAAAGGAAAAACAAAAATGAACTATAACACAATGAATGTGTGGTTGAGAGATCGTTGGGTATAATCCATTCAACAGTTTGCCTTTCAATGTATAGCTGATAGCTCAGTTATTTGTTGAATTGTTGCGCCCAGTTCATACAAGGAATTATGCAAATCATATGTTTAGCAAATCTACATTTAATAAGTTAAATGATTGCAGTTTTATTGAAACTGCTCCAAATTACATTGCAAATCTGTTGAATGTTCTCATGATGATTTCAGAAAAATTCACTACATACACTACTAGAAATGTGTGGGGTTAGTAAGATTTATGCTTTTGGAAAAAAGTATCTTCTGCTTTTCCAAGTATGCATTTATTTGACCAGAAATACATAAAAAACAGTATAACTGTTTTCTAGTTAAATATATTTAAAAAATAAATGTATTCATGTGATGGCAAAGCTGAATTTTCAGTATTAATTTCTCCATTCATCAATGTCACATGATCCTTCAGAAATCATTCTAATATGCTGATTTTGTTTGACAATGTAAAAATCCTGACCAAAAAGGTAGAGACCCAATTCCCGGAGGGCAGGAGCCGCCCCCCTCCTCGCCTGCGCCTGTCTGTTTTGGAATGACTGGATGTTATTGTTGTTGATGTTGTTTTGTTGCTGTGGTTGTCATGTTCTTGTGGATGCTGGGTACACGTTCTTCTCTTTACTATGAATGACTGGCACCTCTTTACTATGAATGCACCTAAAGACTGTTTGAAGAGGTAATGATGTGTCACTCCCCAACCGTAGGCCATGGAGCGCAGTGGCAATCGCATGTCATCGCACACTGAGAGCACCAGTTTCTTGCAAACATTAACAGGACGCTTGCCGACCAAAAAGGTAGAGACCCAATTCCCGGAGGGCAGGAGCCGACCCCCTCCTCGCCTCACCTGCGCCTGTCTGTTTTGGAATGACTGGATGTTATTGTTGTTGATGTTGTTTTGTTGCTGTGGTTGTCATGTTCTTGTGGATGCTGGGTACACGTTCTTCTCTTTACTATGAATGACTGGCACCTCTTTACTATGAATGCACCTAAAGACTGTTTGAAGAGGTAATGATGTGTCACTTGTGGTATGGAGCACCCTGTTGGTTTTGCGCCGGTAACGGGTACTGTGTTCGAATGGGAAGTTTATCTGTTTAATGTTGGAACTGTAGAATAATGAATTCTCCCCACTCTTGCAGCAACACAGTGGGCCTTATGTCAAAGGACCGTATCATATCCCATAGTAGAACTAAGACATACTGACCTATATGCAGTGTATTTGATGGTGAATGTTTCTTTGATGGTTGCTTCCTGTTCTCAGCTCTATCATGAGGAGCTTGCCCTGCAGTGGGTGGTCAGCAGTGGCAGCGTTAGGGAGGGAGCCCTGCAACAGGCCTGGTTCTTCTTTGAGCTTATGGTAAGAACTACCACAATCATAAATCCCCATGCTTCCTCCTTCATGATCAAAAGTGTAGCATCTGTTATTGTGAGAGGAAAAAAGGATGTTCTTTCTCTTTTCAGGTTAAGAGCATCATTCACCACTTATACTTTACTGACCGCCTGCAGTCTCCCAGGAAGAACCGCTTCCCTGAGCGCTTCATGGATGACATCACCGCTCTGGTTAGCACCATTGCAGGTGACATCGTCTCACGTTTCCAGAAGGTGAGAAAACTGCAACTACATGAAATAACTTCTTTTGTTTTAAATAATAACATCATTATTATATTACTCTTAAAGAGACGTAATCCCTGAAACAGAGCTTCCCACTTGCACAATACTGAAATATCTGCTAAGTGTGTTTCTTATCTTGGTCAACCTGGCAACCATGTGTAGGCGCTCTCTCTGCACTGTGGATAAATGCGCTTGCTTTCTGAAAACACCGGTTAGTTTGCAGTTTAGTGATCTCCACTTTAATATTCTATTCTCAGAAAAGTGTAATTCATGAAGTGTTTATTTACGAGAGAGAGAGAATCTGTGTATGCATGAATTACCACCGGTTTGCCGCGTTTCTCTATTAACAGTGAATCTGTGGCTTTAATTACTTTAGAAACAATGATGTTACCAGCTCTTTGTTGAGAAAAATAATGTAGCTCTTCAGCAATTAAGCTATTTTATTGATAAAATTGCGGGGCAGCGCTGAGATGTTTGTTGCTGAATGTCTGTGCGCGTGCAGTGTGATCTGTTTGAGTTACTATTAAAAGTGTGCGCGTGAGCTACAGTAGCTGCGTTTCCATCCACCTATTTTTATGCGCGTTTTGGAATATCGCATAAAAAACGCTGGATGGAAATGCCAAGATGCGCATAAATTCTAAAAATGCTCATAAAAAAACTTATACGCACATTTGAGTAGGATAAACTTTTTATCCGATAAGAAAAAAATCGCATAAACTACGATGGAAACACATTTAACATTTACCGAATAAATTCCTCCATGCTCATCGAAAAAGTCATGTGACTTTGCGCTATGAGACGGGATAACTTGACTAGCAGCAGACCGATCTCGTTCACAGCATCTATATGTTGTTATGGTCATTCTGAAATGCCTGAACAAAGTCTGTCGTCAAAGTATTTTTGTATAATTGTCTTACACGACTGCATTCCCAAACAGCAGCAGCCACCTCCGAAAGCATTGACAGCATTTATTGTGTTACGTCTGCTCGCTCTGAGGTGCAAGTAATTTATTATATATGAAAATTATTATATTCTCCTACTTTTCTTAGAGATTTATAGTGCCAGTTTATCAGGAAGTGACAATTTAGTTCTCTTTGACTTGTTGGATGGAAGCGATGCTTGTTAAATTTGCAACTTTGGATGGAAACCCGGCTGTAGGCTACTGTATGAAATATTGTTATAATGATTATATTATAAATATTATACATCGCAGAAATACACAACGCATATACGCACGCATTAGCATACATAATATATGTATAATTATAGAATTTATTATATTATTCATTTGTTTTATGTATTTCAGTGCATGTTGCATATGCTATTGATATTTATATGATAATGGTGATAATTATATTATGTAAAACAATATAATAAAGAAACAAATAAATTAAAATTAGTATGACTATGTCATTTAAGTATAATTTGAAGAATGGTTAATTCTTGCAGATGATCAGTCAAGAAAAAACATAATTTCCAGTAGGGTTGCAGTATCGGTATCGGGCCCGATACTGAGCTTCTTTACTCGTACTCGTTAAAATGCCCCGATACCACACAGCATGTGATCAGTGCCATATTCAAACAAAGAAACACCGACAACAGAACAACAGACAGCAGAATGGAGTTATAAGAGATTAAGGATGTCTACGAAGTATATGTATGCAATGAATATAATGTTAAACTTTCAGTATTAACGTCTGTATAGCTGATGTGCGCGAGCTGATAAACAAAGCGCGCTGAGTGGATTGAGCGCGCAGCGGCGCAGATGCGCGAGCTTGTCGAGTGAATATATCTTTCTCACAGACATCACTGGAAAGTTTGTAGTTCGGTCAGATGTGTCAAAAACAAGTAAGTAAAACAATGCACAAGTTAAAGTATTGATAGTTGTGTAAATACTGTCATACTAACAGCTGTCAAATTTTTTTGCTGATTGTAATCCATTAAACTACATACCTTTCTATCAAATTTATCTAACATTATCAAGCTAAACTTTCTGACAGTTCTTGTTATATTTTATTACCATTTTCTAAACTATAGCAAATAAACTGTGATAATGTGAGTGTAACAACGTTTGTAGGTCGGGAAGAAGGAGGCGGGAACCGGCAAACATTTAAACAAAACTTTAATAATAAAATAAACACAAAATAGCGCGACAGCCCCTCGCGGACGACTGCCGCGCACAAACGAAACCAAAACACAAAATAAAATCCAGGCCTGGTCCTCTCTCGTCTTTCCCTGTCGTCACTCCTCCTTTGTATCCTTCCGGAGCTCCTCCGTGAGACTCGAGACCGGTGAGTGGCGCAGGTGTCGCGCATTCGCAATTACTCCACCGGCCTCGCTCCGTTCCCACGGCTCTCGGCCCCGCCCCTCTCGTCACAGTGAGAAATGTTGAAGGTGTCTGAATAAATTTTGGTTTGACTGCATCTATTTGATAAATGAAGTTAACCAACTAACATTATACATACTCTTTTGGTTTCTGTACCCAATATTTAAAAAATGTACAAATGCAGTAAAATATTGGTATCGGTACTCTGTATCAGCAAGTACCAAAAATAAAAGTTTCGGTATTGGGCGAGTACTGGAAAAAGGTATCGATGCATCCCTGATTTCCAGTATGTCTGTTTATTCTCATTATTTTAAGCTTTTGAAGTGGTGAGTTTGCTGTTTCATGTTTGTCTTTTTAGGATCTTGAGTTGGTGGAAAGGCTCAACACCAGCTTGGCCTTCTTCCTCAATGACCTCCTGTCAGTCATGGATAGAGGCTTTGTCTTCTCTCTCATCAAAACCTACTGGAAACAGGTACCTTGCAATTCAGCTCCAAACATGCTATGTTTTTTACACATTGTTTTTTCTAATGGCCTTCTATTCCTTCTGTTTCCAGGTGTCCACCAAGCTCTATGCACTACAGAACCCCACTCTAGAGTCTCTGAGACTAGACTTCCTGAGGATCATCTGTAGCCATGAACACTATGTCACTCTAAACCTGCCCTTCAGTCTACTAACACCCCCAGCCTCCCCCTCTCCTTCAGTCTCCTCTGCCACATCTCAGGTAGGAACACTAACTGAGAAAGTTAACTGTAATACACTCTAAATTACACCAAAATTGATAGTAATGAAAACCTTCCTCCCATTTTTTTGTTTTTCTTTCTCATTGTCTTCCACCAGAGTTCTGGATTCTCTACCCATGTGCAGGACCAAAAGATTGCCAACATGTTTGAGCTGTCTGTGCCCTTCAGAGAGCAGCATTACCTCGCTGGTCTGGTTCTGACAGAGCTGGCTGTAATACTCGACCCTGAGGCTGATGGGTCAGTACCCTGGTGTGTGCCCTATTTCCATTCTTAACTCTTCAAGAACTACAATTTTTAATTTTAATATATTAAAAAAAAAGCGTGTATATATATGTATGCATGTTATATTTTTTAAAAACAATAATAATCATTAGCTATAATAATAAACAATTATTTAGTCATCTAGCAGACGCAAACAAATGAGGACAATAGAAGCAATCAAAACCAACAATAACTATAATTATATTTACAATTATGTATATTCGTTTTTTTATTTTTACATATTTTATTATATAATTCATCATTTAAATTAAGTATTTAAATTATTTTTTTATTTTAAGTATTTGTAACACTTATTATTTAAGTATTTTAATAATTTATAACATCTATCAAATATGTAATTTTACTCTCTTTTTCTCTTGCTATAGGATGTTTGGTCTTCATAAGAAGGTCATCAGCGTGGTTCATAATCTGCTGTCCAGTCATGACTCGGACCCACGTTATGCTGACCCTGAGGTCAAAGCTCGAGTTGCACTGCTCTACCTACCACTCATAGGCATTGTGATGGAAACCCTTCCCCAGCTCCATGATTTCACCGGTATGTTCATAGATTTTTGTATCCTGCTCATAGTGCTGGGCGGTATACCGGTTCATATCGAATACCGGTGTTTATTTTTGTTATGATATGAATTTTTAAAATACCGGTGTATGTCGCTTAAACAACGTTCGGAACGCGACACTGTTTGAAAGGGGTCCCTTTTCACTGTTGCACTGTGGCGAGGGAACAGCTGTATGTGTTACTAAGCGTTCAGAAATTGAAGCTGTAGAACTAATAGAACGTGATAAGACAGAAGAATTCATCCACAATATCCACATTGACCGCTACAAATATCCACCGCCCCCTGCCATCAGCTCCCGCGTCTCACACACACGAGCATGACTTTAGCACTAGATTTGACTTTCAGACCCTTTTAGCTGCTTTGTTCCATAGAATATTCATACTGACAAACATAGCGACTTTTTTGGATAAACCTTAGCTATGGTTCAGTTGGAAGATTTTGCCAGTGCTGTCCCACGGACACGAGGTCTGACTTTCCCGTAGAAGTGTCACCTCTCTCGGCGTCTGTTCTGTGCAGTGAGCGGCAGAGAAGCAGCGCATTCAGTTGGCC